GAGGTATGGTGTGTCCTTGCAGGGGCTGTCCTGGGGGGTGCTGTGCTCAGAGGTATGGTGTGTCCTTGCGGGGTGACTGTCCTGGGGGGGTGCTGTGCTCGGAGGTGTGGTGTGTCCTTGCAAGGGGGGCTGTCCTTGGGGATGCTGTGCTCGGAGGTGTGGTATGTCCTTGCAAGGGGGGGCTGTCCTTGGGGGTGCTGTGCTCGGAGGTGTGGTGTGTCCTTGCAGGGGGCTGTCCTGGGGGGTGCTGTGCTCGGAGGTGTGGTGTGTCCTTGCGGGGGACTGTCCTGGGGGTTGCTGTGCTCGGAGGTGTGGTGTGTCCTTACAGGGGGCTGTCCTGGAGGGTGCTGTGCTCGGAGGTGTGTGTCCTTGTTGGGGGCTGTCCTGGGGGTTGCTGTCCCTGGGGGAAACGTCATTGGGGGTGGTACCGTCCTTGGGAAGGCACCTATTTCTGCTTTTGGACCACCCTGTGCCCCCTCGCAGAGGTCCTGATTTGCTGAGCAGGGGTTTCTGAGGCCACTCTGCATTGAGAACCACCGCTTGGTTCCCCCAGTCCTTGACATGTCAGGCCTCATTGCCGGGCCCTGCTGGGGTGATGGGAGCCCCAACTTGCTAGGGCTAGGAGAGAAGAAACCCGTGTTTGTGCCTTTGAGCAGGACTGGAGACCTTCCCATCTAAACGTTAGGAGCGTGCCTCCCCCTCACCCCTGCAGGGTGTCCCGTGGTCTCTGTAGCTCAACCCTTCCCCATGGTAGGGGCAGGGCTGCCCCCCACACGCCTGCAGAAGGGGTGTGCGCCCAGCTGCACTGTCCTTCCACACAGGCTCGACTTCAACGGCTTCTACACGGAGCGCCTGGAGCGCCTGTCTGCGGAGAGGAGCCAGAAGGTCGTCCCCCAAGTGCCTGTCCCTCGGGGGCCCCCGGTTCCTGCACCCAGGGTCGCGGTCACTGCGCAGTGAGCCCTGGCCGAGACAGGAAGAAAGGATGTGGGGCTCAGCAGCTGCTGTGGTGCAGATGGTCCCGAATGTTCCAATGGAAATGCTCCATGTTCTGTCTTTGCAGTTTCAATATAAACAGAACGATCGATGTCGCTCCTTTTGTTTCTCAGGATGCTGAGTTTTTTGTAGGAGCTACCCAGACAGGGCGGATGTCTCTCTGGATTTGCTGATCTGTTCACTTTTTAAAATTAGTCACCTTTTTGGGTGTTTTTGGCCTCAAAGTGAAAATATGTGGTGTTTAAGCAAGAACCTAGCAAAGATACGTGGAGGCGAGGTCCAGGCCTGCTGCCCACGTCCAGGTGAGCTGGGGCTGGCTCCCTGAGGTCGGCCAGAACCCGGAATCGCAGAAACCCCCTGGGCCTCTGGGGTTTGCCGCGACTCTGGAGGCAGCCCCGTTCCTTCTGAGGACTCCCCGGCTTTCCCCGCGTTCCTTCTGAGGACTCCCCAACTCCAGGCTCCCGCCCTCCTCCTGAGGACTGCTCGGCTCCACACAGCCCCTCCTGAGGAGTCCTCCAGGTCCACGATCTCCCCCGCTCCACCCTGTTCCTTCTGAGGACTCCCAGCTACACGCTCCTGCTTCTGCTCTGCCTGGTCCAGGGCAGGAGACATAGGCAGGGCCCTCAGGCACCAGGGAAACCCAGACCTCCTCCTCCGTGGGATGCACCCACTGAGAAGTGGCCTTGGGGCAGGCTCTGCTGCTGGCAGGAACCCTTGCCCCGCCCTGCCCCATCCCATCCGGGGCTGCCTTGTGGCAGAGAAGTTACTCAGCAGACTGGCACCCCACCCAGTCCCCCTCGGGCGGTCATCTGCCCTCTCTCTTCCATATTCTCCAGTGCTACAGTGGGCAGCACAGCCAGCCCTGGTGTGACAGGGCCCTGGGTTCCTCACGGCAGCCCTGGCCAGGGTGGCCTGCTCTGGCCACGCTCCGGCAACGCTGCTGCTTCCTGCAGAACTGCGTGTGTCGTCACGGTCCAGCCCAGCGCCTCTGCCCTCTTGGATGGCAAGGTTGGGAGGAAGGAGAAGTAGAACAGAGGGTCCCGTGGGGGGACAAGGGCGTGGGCGGCCCTCTCCCAGGCTGCCTTGCCAAGAGCACAGCAGAGCGGGGGTGGGGGGGGTGTCTGCCTCTCCAGCCGCAAACTGCTTCCTCTCCTTGTCTGTGGCCTGTGCAGGCCTGGCCTGTGAGTAAACAGGTTTATCAGCAACCCCAGGGTTGTGCAAATGCCAGACACGGGAGCAGAGGAGCCTGCTGGCTTTCCTGCCTGGCCCTGAGGCCTGGAAACCCCAGCTCTTGTGTCCTGGGCTCTGGGAAACCCTGGGCCTTGAGAAGTGGGGTTTGCAGGTGGTGAGGCTAGGAGGGGAGGGGAGTCTCCAGGGTTGTGGAGTCCAGGTTCCCAGACCCCTCGGCGCCTGCTGGGTGGAGTCAGTGGAGACGGTGAGGTGTCTTCTGTTCGATGGGGTGGGACTTCCTCAACCTGGTAGGAGCCCGTTCTGGCCTGAGTGTATCCTGTCTTTTTAAGACAGTCGCAGGTAGCCGGCAGGGGCCTTGTGGTGCTGCTGAGTGACCAGCGAGCCGCCTTTGCACCTGGGCTGCAGTAGCTTGCACGGGCTGGCATCCCCAGCCCTACCTGGAGCCTCACCACATTCTCAGCAGCCTGGGGGGCCTCGTCCTGTGCCACAGAGTAGCCTCAGGCCAGGAGCGCAGGCAGCAGAAGTTGGCTGCCACCCAGTACCAGCCGTTGCCTTTATTTTTCTTGCTTTTCATGCCGTTCATGTTGGGGTAAGAATGGCTTTGAGACAAAACGTTACAGCATCACTCAGGCCAGCTTAGATCCTCAGGGTTCCCTGTCCTCCCGGTTAGCGTCCAAGGCCCTGGCCTCTTCCTGCCACTGCCCCCTGACCTCTGTCCTCTGCCCTGGGCCCATGCAGGCCCCTGCCTCACCCTGCCCTGGGGCCCTCTCTCCAGGCAGGACTCACTCCTGCCTCCCATCCATGCTGGCCCTGCCCTGCCGCTCCCCAGGAGGCCCTGAGCCGTCACTGTGTTGTCGGTGGAGCCACTGTTTGCATCCCAGGAGGGAGGCCTGGCTGTGGGAGCCCCAGTGAGGGGTCCAGGGTGGGCCGTCTGCGGACAGGTGCTGTCCGCCTGCACCTGCACCCTCTAGGCTGAGCCCACCTAGGGGAACGTGCCTATGGAGGCCAAGCGCTCTGGAGAAGCTGGAGCCAGGCCACGGTCCGTGTCGACCAGCGTCAGCTGCCGTCGGGATCGTAGGCTGAGGACGGCCTCTGCACCTGCCATCACCTGGGCTGGGACCACCACCTGGGGCTCACCACCCCCCCCACTTGGCCACCTGCGGGCCCATGCCTCTCCCACTTCAGCGAGGCCTCAGAGCCTGTGGAGGGGGTGCTGGGCTTGGGTGGAGCGCAGCGGCCCACAGGGCTGACCCTATGCCCACGAAGCCGTGACTTGTCCCTGCCTTGGGCTGTCTGCTCCGCGGGAAGTCAGAGCCCGCCTCTCCTGAAACCACCAGGCAGCCCTCAGAGGTCCCTTCCCCTCCAGGACCTGCCCGGCGCCACCTCCTTCCAGCCGCCGGTCCGCCTCTCGGGCCCCTGTCTGGGCTCTGGCCGGACTTGGGACAGGCTGTGCCTCAGTTTCCTCACCTGTGCAAGGGAGGAAGCAGGATTGTGGAGGGAGGAGGGAACGGACCCCGCCCCTCCCGCCGGCGGAGGAGCCCATTGGCTGAGAGCGCAGGGGCGGGGCCCGAGGAATAAGCCGCGGCCGGGGCGCGCAGGAACCAGACCTGGCCCCGCGGGGCTCTCACCTCCGCGCCCGGCCGCTTCCGCCTCCACCGCGCCCCGGCCATGCGCGGCCTCGGGCTTTGGCTGCTGGGCGCGCTGGGGCTGCCTGGTGAGTGTTCCGGGGGGCCGTCGTGGGCGCGGCGCGGGGCACCGTGAGCCCTGAACCTCTGCCTGTGCGCCCTGGCCCGGCTTCGGCTTCAGGCTGGTCCCTGGGTGCCGGGGTGGCGTGCGCAGCGGCCTCTGGGTGGAGAGACCCGGGCCGGGGAGGCCGAAGGTGAACTGAGCGCAGTCCCGCCTCAGGCGGTCCTCAGCTTGTTAGTGGGGTCGGGGCCAGGCCCGCGGGGCTGAGGACGCGCGGCTGCTTCACCTGCTGCGGGAGGTGCCCTAGTTTCTTGGGATTCACCGTGGGGCCACCCACCCCCACCATTTAGCCAGGGAGGGCAGAGGAGCTGGGGCCTGGAGTTCAGGGTGTGGGCAGGAGAGCCCCCCAACCCGGTCTGCTGCCTGGGGGAGGACGTGGGGCCTGTGGTCCTGGACCCCACCCCTGCTCCTGGGAGTGACCTGGGCTGGGTTGTGGTGGGGAGCTTCGGGGTGGAGGCTGGGGTGCTCCCCACCAGCTTCCTGGGCAGATGGGGCTGGCTGCTCCCCTGCTGCCTCTGCAGGTTGGAGATGTGGTCCTGGAGACACATCCATTATTGTTTTTAACGGAGGAAAAGGGTCCTGGGTTGGCGGTCTCCGAAACTCTGCCCATTGCAGGCCGAGTCCCTGCCCTGTGGTCTTGAATACGAGGGAGTTTCCAGTTCTTGGGAGAAGAGCCTGGGCGAGGCCCTTCCTGCTCTCCACTTACGTGGGACCAGATGATCAGATGAATGGAGGGATGGAAATGTCGCCCGCATCTTCCTTCCCCGTGGGAAGGATTATCTTTTCCCTGAGGCCCCTCGAGAGGTCCGAGAGCAGCCTGGGGGCCTGTGGAATCACTGGTGCCTGCAGGGGCTCTGAGTACTGTGTGTGCGTGCTGCAGGGCGCAGGCGCTGCCTGGGGCACTCCTGGAGGCTTTTAGGCGCAGAACCCTCACCTGAGTGTCCCTGAGTTATCTGGCGATTTCCCCAGGGGAGGGGCAGAATCTGAGGGCCCAGAAGCCCCCCAACACGTGCCTGCTGACCCTCCCTCCTGCAGCCATGGCCCCCAGCCAGCCCTGGGCCCCCTTGGAGCGGTATGAGGTGGTGCTGCCTCAGCGCCTGCCGGGACCCCGAGCCCGTCGAGCTCTGCCCTCCCACTCGGTGAGTCTAAGCTGGACTGAGGGGTCCCTGGCTGGCCCCTGAGTCTATTTCTGTGAAAGAGGCTTTAGCTTCTAGGAGGTGGTAAGAGGCCAGGTGGGCATCTGGGGCTGCCTATCTCCTCCATTGCTGCCTGGGGGCTCACAGCCTCCTGTTCCTTCAGGAACCCTTTGGGCCCCTGGAAGGCAGCAGGGGCAGATTGTGCTGGCCCTGGCCCCGCCCCAGTTTCACTTGGCAAGTCTGATAAGCCAAATTCCTCTTTGAGAAGTGAGCTGGCTCACCGCAGCGTTGGCACACCTTCCTGTGTGAGGCCTGGCGGGGCTCCCTGGGGCTGGGGAACTGAGAGTGGCCACCCCACCTTCGGGGCTGACCCAGGGTGATTCCTGAAACCTGAGTGGGGGGTGTGCCCACATGTGCACTGCATGCATGCGGGAGCCTGTTTCCAGGGAGGGCAGCTCCGGCCCCAGCCCTGTCCTCACCTCACCTGCCCCCTGCCCTGGGATCTCGTCAGCCAGGGGCACAGCTCAGGCTGTTTGGGGGGCTCAGCAGGCCAAGTCCCAGCCTGCACATGGGGGCTGGAGACACAGTGGGTGAGGAGTAGGCTCTTCGGGCACTGCCAGGTCTGGCAGCTGCTGGGAGGGACAGGGCTGGAGGCAGGCGGCTGCCATTGGAGGGTCCTGTGCCTGCCGTCCCGCCCTCCACCTCCTTTGCTGCCTGGCCAAGGCTTGGGGAAGGGGCACTGTCATTACCCAGGCATGGTCAGATGGGGAAACTGAGGTGTGAGGTGCCCCATGTCCTTCCTGTCACGCAAGTGCTGTGCTCCACCTGTCCCTTCCAGCACAGCCCCGCCCCACCCCCACCCGCCCTCCACTTCCACCCTCTACCCTGCCTGAGGCTGTGGACACCCAAAGATGGAGCCTTGGCCTGGGGCTGGAGGCCAGCTCCCCTTCCCCACCCAGCTGAGCTTCTCTGGCGCCCAGGATTGAGGTGGGTGCAGCCCGGGCAGGCTGCTCACCCAAGCCCCCCTCTCCAGGGCCTGTACCCAGAGAGGGTGAGCTATGTCCTTGCGGCCACAGGGCACAGCTTCACCCTGCACCTGCGGAAGAACAGGTGAGTGGGTCTCAGGCCGCCCCCCTGCACCCCACCTCCACTGCCTGGGCCTGGCTCCAGCACACCGGTGTCCTCAGTGTCCAGCTTCTGGGCCAGCCTCTCTGCACCGAGGGGACCAAGGCAGGGCTGAGGTGGGGGTCGAGGCAGAGCTGAGGTGGGGGCCGAGGTGGGGGCCGAGGTGGGGGTCGAGGCGGGGCTGAGGTGGGGGCCGAGGTGGGGGCCGAGGTGGGGGTCGAGGCAGGGCTGAGGTGGGGGCTGAGGTGGGGGCCGAGGTGGGGGCCGAGGTGGGGGTCGAGGCGGGGCTGAGGTGGGGGCCGAGGTGGGGGCCGAGGCAGGGCTGAGGCAGCCACAGAGCTGCTTTTCCAGGGACCTGCTGGGCTCGGGCTACACAGAGACCTACACAGCTGCCAACGGCTCCGAGGTGACGGAGCAGCCACGCGGGCAGGTATGGGTGGGGTGGCCTTCCCTCCCCGAGCCTGTGGGGCCGTGGGGGCGCAGCCGTGGACCCTCTCGTGCTTCCCCCGCAGGACCTCTGCTTCTACCAGGGCCACGTGGAGGGGCACGCGGACTCGGCCGCCAGCATCAGCACCTGTCTGGGCCTCAGGTGGGCGTGGGGACGACACCAGAGCTCCGGCAGCGGGAGAGGGAGGCCTCAGCCGGGCGGGAGGCCGCCGCCTCCTCACATTCAGGCCTTCCCGGTCACGCAGAGGGGTCTGCTCAGGGGCCCTGCCATGCCCAAGAGGCTCAGCCTCCTGCACCCTTGGGCCTGCTGGTGGCAGGGCAGGGGGCACTGTGGGCAGTGGACTCCACTTCTGGTCCTTCGGGGCAGGGCCCGGCCACCCTGCAGCCATGGCATGCCCGGCTCCCGCTGCCCTCAGGGGCTTCTTCCAGGTGGGCTCAGACCTGCACCTGATCGAGCCCCTGGATGAAGGTGGCGAGGGCGGGCGGCACGCCCTGTACCCGGCTGAGCAGCTGCTGCAGACGGCCGGGACCTGCGGAGTCACCAACGACACCCTGGGCAGGCTCCTGGGGCCCCGGACAGCCGCCGTGTTCAGATCTCGGCCCGGGGTGAGCACCTTGGTCACCGTGTTTGGCCTTCGAGTCCCCACGCGCTGCGCGCTGCCCGCTGTGTGCAGCCTGGAGCGGGCCTGGTGATGCTCCCCCAGCCCTGGCAGGACACTGGCCCCGGGGCCCTGAGGGAGGGTTCAGGCCCTGAGGCTGGGAAAGCTGATTGGCTTCTTGTGGCTGTTCCCCAGGGCCCTCCGTCGCTCCGAGACACCCGCTACGTGGAGCTGTACGTGGTCGCGGATAATGCGGAGGTGGGTGGGTGCCGGGGGGGAAGGTGGGAGTGTGGTGACGGGGGGGCGCTGAGGGGTGGAGAAGGTGGGAGGTGGGGGGCAGGGGGGTGGGCTCCAGCCTGAGGGTCTCCTGTCTCCAGTTCCAGCAGGTGGGGAGCGGAGCTGCTCTGCGCCATCGGGTGCTGGAGGTGGTGAACCACGTGGACAAGGTGAGCCGCCACCCCAACTGTGGGGGTGCTGGAGCCCCTGGTGGGTGGGCGGGGGGGGTGTTGCCATGGGGTTCCTTCCGCCTGCTCTGGCTCTGCCTGGCACCCGTGACTGGCCCCGCCTCACAGCGGGACAGATGTGGTCTCTGCCAGCCTCCCCATTGTACCTTCGCCACCCCCCTGAACCCCTGGACTCCCCCACCTACCTCTCCAGTTATATCAGAAACTCAACATCCGTGTGGTCCTGGTGGGCCTGGAGATCTGGAATGACCAGGACAAGTTCCAGGTCAGCCCCGACTTCAGCGTCACACTGGAGAACCTCCTGGCCTGGCGGGCGCGGGGTCTGGCACAGCGGCACCCACACGACAACGTGCAGCTCATCACGTGAGCCGGGGAGCGGGCGGGGCTGGGAGGGCGGCTGGGCGCGGGTGGGCGGGGTGGGCAGGGTGTGGGAGGGAGGGCAGGCAGGGCACCTGAGTTACTCTCACTTCCAGGGCCGTGGACTTCACCGGGGACACCGTGGGGTTTGCCAAGGTGTCCGCCATGTGCTCCCACAGCTCGGGGGCTGTGAATCAGGTGAGGGGGCCCCTGCCCGGGTTTGCCAGACCGGGGCCAGAGCCGCATGGGGGACAGGAAGCCCGGGCCTGGGTCACTGGAGCATGCCTTACGGTGGCGTTGGTAGGGAGCTGTGCCAACCCCTGGGCCCTGGTGGAGTGAGGGTGGCGGGTGTGGGGGGTCAGCCACATGGTTCCCGAGAGCACGGTCCCCTCCCGCAGGACCACAGCAAGAACCCCGTGGGCGTGGCCTGCACCATGGCCCACGAGATGGGCCACAACCTGGGCATGGACCACGATGAGCAGGTCAACGGCTGCCACTGCCGGGAGCCCTCCCAGGACACCCGCTGCATCATGGCAGGCAGAATTAGGTAAAGGGGCCGGGCCCTGGACAGCTTGGGGTGCAAGGCCGGTGGGGAAGGGCCGCCCTCCCTGACAGGCTGTCCCCCAGCTCCGGGCCCTGGACAGCTTGGGGTGCAAGGCCGGTGGGGAAGGGCCGCCCTCCCTGACAGGCTGCCCCCCAGCTCCGGGCCCTGGACAGCTTGGGGTGCAAGGCCGGTGGGGAAGGGCCGCCCTCCCTGACAGGCTGCCCCCCAGCTCCGGGCCCTGGACAGCTTGGGGTGCAAGGCCGGTGGGGAAGGGCCGCCCTCCCTGACAGGCTGTCCCCCAGCTCCGGGCCCTGGACAGCTTGGGGTGCAAGGCCGGTGGGGAAGGGCCGCCCTCCCTGACAGGCTGCCCCCCAGCTCCGGGCCCTGGACAGCTTGGGGTGCAAGGCCGGTGGGGAAGGGCCGCCCTCCCTGACAGGCTGCCCCCCAGCTCCGGGCCCTGGACAGCTTGGGGTGCAAGGCCGGTGGGGAAGGGCCGCCCTCCCTGACAGGCTGTCCCCCAGCTCCGGGCCCTGGACAGCTTGGGGTGCAAGGCCGGTGGGGAAGGGCCGCCCTCCCTGACAGGCTGCCCCCCAGCTCCGGGCCCTGGACAGCTTGGGGTGCAAGGCCGGTGGGGAAGGGCCGCCCTCCCTGACAGGCTGTCCCCCAGCTCCGGGCCCTGGACAGCTTGGGGTGCAAGGCCGGTGGGGAAGGGCCGCCCTCCCTGACAGGCTGCCCCCCAGCTCCGGGCCCTGGACAGCTTGGGGTGCAAGGCCGGTGGGGAAGGGCCGCCCTCCCTGACAGGCTGTCCCCCAGCTCCGGGCCCTGGACAGCTTGGGGTGCAAGGCCGGTGGGGAAGGGCCGCCCTCCCTGACAGGCTGTCCCCCAGCTCCGGGCCCTGGACAGCTTGGGGTGCAAGGCCGGTGGGGAAGGGCCGCCCTCCCTGACAGGCTGCCCCCCAGCTCCGGGCCCTGGACAGCTTGGGGTGCAAGGCCGGTGGGGAAGGGCCGCCCTCCCTGACAGGCTGCCCCCCAGCTCCGGGCCCTGGACAGCTTGGGGTGCAAGGCCGGTGGGGAAGGGCCGCCCTCCCTGACAGGCTGCCCCCCAGCTCCGGGCCCTGGACAGCTTGGGGTGCAAGGCCGGTGGGGAAGGGCCGCCCTCCCTGACAGGCTGTCCCCCAGCTCCGGGCCCTGGACAGCTTGGGGTGCAAGGCCGGTGGGGAAGGGCCGCCCTCCCTGACAGGCTGCCTCCCAGCTCCGGGCCCTGGACAGCTTGGGGTGCAAGGCCGGTGGGGAAGGGCCGCCCTCCCTGACAGGCTGTCCCCCAGCTCCGGGCCCTGGACAGCTTGGGGTGCAAGGCCGGTGGGGAAGGGCCGCCCTCCCTGACAGGCTGCCCCCCAGCTCCGGGCCCTGGACAGCTTGGGGTGCAAGGCCGGTGGGGAAGGGCCGCCCTCCCTGACAGGCTGTCCCCCAGCTCCGGGCCCTGGACAGCTTGGGGTGCAAGGCCGGTGGGGAAGGGCCGCCCTCCCTGACAGGCTGTCCCCCAGCTCCGGGCCCTGGACAGCTTGGGGTGCAAGGCCGGTGGGGAAGGGCCGCCCTCCCTGACAGGCTGCCCCCCAGCTCCGGGCCCTGGACAGCTTGGGGTGCAAGGCCGGTGGGGAAGGGCCGCCCTCCCTGACAGGCTGCCCCCCAGCTCCGGGCCCTGGACAGCTTGGGGTGCAAGGCCGGTGGGGAAGGGCCGCCCTCCCTGACAGGCTGCCCCCCAGCTCCGGGCCCTGGACAGCTTGGGGTGCAAGGCCGGTGGGGAAGGGCCGCCCTCCCTGACAGGCTGTCCCCCAGCTCCGGGCCCTGGACAGCTTGGGGTGCAAGGCCGGTGGGGAAGGGCCGCCCTCCCTGACAGGCTGCCCCCCAGCTCCGGGCCCTGGACAGCTTGGGGTGCAAGGCCGGTGGGGAAGGGCCGCCCTCCCTGACAGGCTGTCCCCCAGCTCCGGGCCCTGGACAGCTTGGGGTGCAAGGCCGGTGGGGAAGGGCCGCCCTCCCTGACAGGCTGTCCCCCAGCTCCGGGCCCTGGACAGCTTGGGGTGCAAGGCCGGTGGGGAAGGGCCGCCCTCCCTGACAGGCTGCCCCCCAGCTCCGGGCCCTGGACAGCTTGGGGTGCAAGGCCGGTGGGGAAGGGCCGCCCTCCCTGACAGGCTGTCCCCCAGCTCCGGGCCCTGGACAGCTTGGGGTGCAAGGCCGGTGGGGAAGGGCCGCCCTCCCTGACAGGCTGCCCCCCAGCTCCGGGCCCTGGACAGCTTGGGGTGCAAGGCCGGTGGGGAAGGGCCGCCCTCCCTGACAGGCTGCCTCCCAGCTCCGGGCCCTGGACAGCTTGGGGTGCAAGGCCGGTGGGGAAGGGCCGCCCTCCCTGACAGGCTGTCCCCCAGCTCCGGGCCCTGGACAGCTTGGGGTGCAAGGCCGGTGGGGAAGGGCCGCCCTCCCTGACAGGCTGCCCCCCAGCTCCGGGCCCTGGACAGCTTGGGGTGCAAGGCCGGTGGGGAAGGGCCGCCCTCCCTGACAGGCTGCCCCCCAGCTCCGGGCCCTGGACAGCTTGGGGTGCAAGGCCGGTGGGGAAGGGCCGCCCTCCCTGACAGGCTGTCCCCCAGCTCCGGGCCCTGGACAGCTTGGGGTGCAAGGCCGGTGGGGAAGGGCCGCCCTCCCTGACAGGCTGTCCCCCAGCTCCGGGCCCTGGACAGCTTGGGGTGCAAGGCCGGTGGGGAAGGGCCGCCCTCCCTGACAGGCTGCCCCCCAGCTCCGGGCCCTGGACAGCTTGGGGTGCAAGGCCGGTGGGGAAGGGCCGCCCTCCCTGACAGGCTGCCCCCAGCTCCGGGCCCTGGACAGCTTGGGGTGCAAGGCCGGTGGGGAAGGGCCGCCCTCCCTGACAGGCTGCCCCCAGCTCCGGGCCCTGGACAGCTTGGGGTGCAAGGCCGGTGGGGAAGGGCCGCCCTCCCTGACAGGCTGTCCCCCAGCTCCGGGCCCTGGACAGCTTGGGGTGCAAGGCCGGTGGGGAAGGGCCGCCCTCCCTGACAGGCTGCCCCCCAGCTCCGGGCCCTGGACAGCTTGGGGTGCAAGGCCGGTGGGGAAGGGCCGCCCTCCCTGACAGGCTGCCCCCCAGCTCCGGGCCCTGGACAGCTTGGGGTGCAAGGCCGGTGGGGAAGGGCCGCCCTCCCTGACAGGCTGCCCCCAGCTCCGGGCCCTGGACAGCTTGGGGTGCAAGGCCGGTGGGGAAGGGCCGCCCTCCCTGACAGGCTGTCCCCCAGCTCCGGGCCCTGGACAGCTTGGGGTGCAAGGCCGTGGGGAAGGGCCGCCCTCCCTGACAGGCTGCCTCCCAGCTCCGGGCCCTGGACAGCTTGGGGTGCAAGGCCGGTGGGGAAGGGCCGCCCTCCCTGACAGGCTGTCCCCCAGCTCCGGGCCCTGGACAGCTTGGGGTGCAAGGCCGGTGGGGAAGGGCCGCCCTCCCTGACAGGCTGCCCCCCAGCTCCGGGCCCTGGACAGCTTGGGGTGCAAGGCCGGTGGGGAAGGGCCGCCCTCCCTGACAGGCTGTCCCCCAGCTCCGGGCCCTGGACAGCTTGGGGTGCAAGGCCGGTGGGGAAGGGCCGCCCTCCCTGACAGGCTGTCCCCCCAGCTCCGGGCCCTGGACAGCTTGGGGTGCAAGGCCGGTGGGGAAGGGCCCGCCCTCCCCTGACAGGCTGCCCCCCAGCTCCGGGGCCCTGGACAGCTTGGGGTGCAAGGCCGGTGGGGGAAGGGCCGCCCTCCCTGACAGGCTGCCCCCCAGCTCCGGGCCCTGGACAGCTTGGGGTGCAAGGCCGGTGGGGAAGGGCCGCCCTCCCTGACAGGCTGTCCCCCCAGCTCCGGGCCCTGGACAGCTTGGGGTGCAAGGCCGGTGGGGAAGGGCCGCCCTCCCTGACAGGCTGTCCCCCAGCTCCGGGCCCTGGACAGCTTGGGGTGCAAGGCCGGTGGGGAAGGGCCGCCCTCCCTGACAGGCTGCCCCCAGCTCCGGGGCCCTGGACAGCTTGGGTGCAAGGCCGGTGGGGAAGGGCCCGCCCTCCCTGACAGGCTGTCCCCCAGCTCCGGGCCCTGGACAGCTTGGGGTGCAAGGCCGGTGGGGAAGGGCCCGCCCTCCCTGACAGGCTGCCCCCCAGCTCCGGGCCCTGGACAGCTTGGGGTGCAAGGCCGGTGGGGAAGGGCCGCCCTCCCTGACAGGCTGCCCCCCAGCTCCGGGCCCTGGACAGCTTGGGGTGCAAGGCCGGTGGGGAAGGGCCGCCCTCCCTGACAGGCTGTCCCCCAGCTCCGGGCCCTGGACAGCTTGGGGTGCAAGGCCGGTGGGGAAGGGCCGCCCTCCCTGACAGGCTGCCCCCCAGCTCCGGGCCCTGGACAGCTTGGGGTGCAAGGCCGGTGGGGAAGGGGCCGCCCTCCCTGACAGGCTGTCCCCCAGCTCCGGGCCCTGGACAGCTTGGGGTGCAAGGCCGGTGGGGAAGGGCCCGCCCTCCCTGACAGGCTGTCCCCCAGCTCCGGGCCCTGGACAGCTTGGGGTGCAAGGCCGGTGGGGAAGGGCCGCCCTCCCTGACAGGCTGTCCCCCAGCTCCGGGCCCTGGACAGCTTGGGGTGCAAGGCCGGTGGGGAAGGGCCGCCCTCCCTGACAGGCTGCCCCCCAGCTCCGGGCCCTGGACAGCTTGGGGTGCAAGGCCGGTGGGGAAGGGCCGCCCTCCCTGACAGGCTGCCCCCCAGCTCCGGGCCCTGGACAGCTTGGGGTGCAAGGCCGGTGGGGAAGGGCCGCCCTCCCTGACAGGCTGTCCCCCAGCTCCGGGCCCTGGACAGCTTGGGGTGCAAGGCCGGTGGGGAAGGGCCGCCCTCCCTGACAGGCTGTCCCCCAGCTCCGGGCCCTGGACAGCTTGGGGTGCAAGGCCGGTGGGGAAGGGCCGCCCTCCCTGACAGGCTGTCCCCCAGCTCCGGGCCCTGGACAGCTTGGGGTGCAAGGCCGGTGGGGAAGGGCCGCCCTCCCTGACAGGCTGCCCCCCAGCTCCGGGCCCTGGACAGCTTGGGGTGCAAGGCCGGTGGGGAAGGGCCGCCCTCCCTGACAGGCTGTCCCCCAGCTCCGGGCCCTGGACAGCTTGGGGTGCAAGGCCGGTGGGGAAGGGCCGCCCTCCCTGACAGGCTGCCCCCCAGCTCCGGGCCCTGGACAGCTTGGGGTGCAAGGCCGGTGGGGAAGGGCCGCCCTCCCTGACAGGCTGTCCCCCAGCTCCGGGCCCTGGACAGCTTGGGGTGCAAGGCCGGTGGGGAAGGGCCGCCCTCCCTGACAGGCTGTCCCCCCAGCTCCGGGCCCTGGACAGCTTGGGGTGCAAGGCCGGTGGGGAAGGGCCGCCCTCCCTGACAGGCTGTCCCCCAGCTCCGGGCCCTGGACAGCTTGGGGTGCAAGGCCGGTGGGGAAGGGCCGCCCTCCCTGACAGGCTGCCCCCCAGCTCCGGGCCCTGGACAGCTTGGGGTGCAAGGCCGGTGGGGAAGGGCCGCCCTCCCTGACAGGCTGTCCCCCCAGCTCCGGGCCCTGGACAGCTTGGGGTGCAAGGCCGGTGGGGAAGGGCCGCCCTCCCTGACAGGCTGTCCCCCAGCTCCGGGCCCTGGACAGCTTGGGGTGCAAGGCCGGTGGGGAAGGGCCGCCCTCCCTGACAGGCTGCCCCCCAGCTCCGGGCCCTGGACAGCTTGGGGTGCAAGGCCGGTGGGGAAGGGCCGCCCTCCCTGACAGGCTGCCCCCCAGCTCCGGGCCCTGGACAGCTTGGGGTGCAAGGCCGGTGGGGAAGGGCCGCCCTCCCTGACAGGCTGCCCCCAGCTCCGGGCCCTGGACAGCTTGGGGTGCAAGGCCGGTGGGGAAGGGCCGCCCTCCCTGACAGGCTGTCCCCCAGCTCCGGGCCCTGGACAGCTTGGGGTGCAAGGCCGGTGGGGAAGGGCCGCCCTCCCTGACAGGCTGTCCCCCCAGCTCCGGGCCCTGGACAGCTTGGGGTGCAAGGCCGGTGGGGAAGGGCCGCCCTCCCTGACAGGCTGCCCCCCAGCTCCGGGCCCTGGACAGCTTGGGGTGCAAGGCCGGTGGGGAAGGGCCGCCCTCCCTGACAGGCTGCCCCCCAGCTCCGGGCCCTGGACAGCTTGGGGTGCAAGGCCGGTGGGGAAGGGCCGCCCTCCCTGACAGGCTGTCCCCCAGCTCCGGGCCCTGGACAGCTTGGGGTGCAAGGCCGGTGGGGAAGGGCCGCCCTCCCTGACAGGCTGTCCCCCAGCTCCGGGCCCTGGACAGCTTGGGGTGCAAGGCCGGTGGGGGAAGGGCCGCCCTCCCTGACAGGCTGCCCCCCAGCTCCGGGCCCTGGACAGCTTGGGGTGCAAGGCCGGTGGGGAAGGGCCGCCCTCCCTGACAGGCTGTCCCCCAGCTCCGGGCCCTGGACAGCTTGGGGTGCAAGGCCGGTGGGGAAGGGCCGCCCTCCCTGACAGGCTGTCCCCCAGCTCCGGGCCCTGGACAGCTTGGGGTGCAAGGCCGGTGGGGAAGGGCCGCCCTCCCTGACAGGCTGTCCCCCAGCTCCGGGCCCTGGACAGCTTGGGGTGCAAGGCCGGTGGGGAAGGGCCGCCCTCCCTGACAGGCTGTCCCCCCAGCTCCGGGCCCTGGACAGCTTGGGGTGCAAGGCCGGTGGGGAAGGGCCGCCCTCCCTGACAGGCTGTCCCCCAGCTCCGGGCCCTGGACAGCTTGGGGTGCAAGGCCGGTGGGGAAGGGCCGCCCTCCCTGACAGGCTGTCCCCCCAGCTCCGGGCCCTGGACAGCTTGGGGTGCAAGGCCGGTGGGGAAGGGCCGCCCTCCCTGACAGGCTGCCCCCAGCTCCGGGCCCTGGACAGCTTGGGGTGCAAGGCCGGTGGGGAAGGGCCGCCCTCCCTGACAGGCTGCCCCCCAGCTCCGGGCCCTGGACAGCTTGGGGTGCAAGGCCGGTGGGGAAGGGCCGCCCTCCCTGACAGGCTGCCCCCCAGCTCCGGGCCCTGGACAGCTTGGGGTGCAAGGCCGGTGGGGAAGGGCCGCCCTCCCTGACAGGCTGCCCCCCAGCTCCGGGCCCTGGACAGCTTGGGGTGCAAGGCCGGTGGGGAAGGGCCGCCCTCCCTGACAGGCTGCCCCCCAGCTCCGGGCCCTGGACAGCTTGGGGTGCAAGGCCGGTGGGGAAGGGCCGCCCTCCCTGACAGGCTGCCCCCCCAGCTCCGGGTTCCCCAGGATGTTCAGTGACTGCAGCCAGACCTACCTGGAGAGCTTTCTGGAGCAGCCGCAGTCCGCCTGCCTGGCCGACGCCCCCGACCTCAGCCTCCTGGTGGGCGGCCCAGTGTGCGGGAACCTGTTTGTGGAGCGTGGGGAGCAGTGTGACTGCGGCCCCCCCGAGGTGCGCCCATGCCCCACACCTGCTTGTCCCACACCTGCCCCTTTCTGCGTGGTGCCGAGACCTCTGTCCCTTTAGATCGAGGAGGCTGCCCACAGCCACATGCGGAGCCCACAGCTCCATGTGTCCGAAGGGGTCAGAGGGAGGGAGCGGCTGCAGGATGCCCCGGTGGTCAGGGGAGGCGGCCGGCCCATCCCGCCCGTGTGGCCTGTTGAGGCCTTTGCCATTTGCTGTTGCCCCAGGAATGCCGGAACCGCTGCTGCAACTCCACCACCTGCCAGCTGGTCCAGGGGGCACAGTGTGCACATGGCACCTGCTGCCAGGAGTGCCAGGTTAGTGCAGCCTCCCCCCAGAGACTCCCGGAGCCCACGGCGGGCAGGAGGGAGGGGACCGCCGGAGTCCACAGCTGGCAGTGCAGCTTCCCACCAGGGTCCCCTGGAGCCCACAGCGGGCAGGTGGGAGGGGACCCGGGGTGCAAGGGACCAGGCAGCTTGCGTGGGCCTGTCCCCATGGTGAGCTGTTCTCTGCTGGGCCAGGTGAAGCCGGCTGGTGAGCTGTGCCGCCCCCAGAAGGACACATGTGACCTCGAGGAGTTCTGTGATGGCCGGCACCCCGAGTGCCCGGAAGATGCCTTCCAGGAGAACGGCGCACCCTGCTTCGGGGGCTACTGCTACAACGGGACCTGCCCCACCCTGGCCCAGCGGTGCCAGGCCTTGTGGGGGCCAGGTGAAGTGGCACAGAGGTGGCCCGGCAGGGAGGCCACAGGCCTTGCCACAGGCTAACCCGCTCCTGGTCCCACAGGTGGGCATGCTGCCAAGGAGTCCTGCTTCTTCTACGACGTCTCACCAAACTGCAGGAGCAGCTGGAACAGGTGAGCTTTTGACACCAGATTCCCCTGAGCCCAGGATACGTGATGTTCCCACAGCTGGGCCAGCCCCAGAGGGCCCTCCACAAAGGAGTCCTGCCCCCAAGGGGTCTGCCCTGGACCCGTGGACCCCAGGCTCAAGCGTGCCGTGTTGTGGGAGGGAGGTGGGTCACCGTGGCCCCAGCCTGCCATTGCTCTTGGTCCCCAGCACGTACCTGGGCGAGCTGGTCCATGACCTGCCCTCTGTCCACAGGGCCGACATGTGTGGCACTCTGCAATGTCAGGGCGGGCAGCTCCCCGCGGGGCGCAGCTCCTGCACCCTGAATGACATATGCCGTGCGCTTACCACAGAGGGTGGTGCTGCCTATGAGCCAGTGCCCGAAGGCACCCGATGCGGACCGGAGAAGGTGAGCCAGTGGCTCAGAGGCTGCCCCACCCACAGGCATCCCAAGCGTGTGCCCCATGTGGGCACCGTGGATGCATTTCTGAGCTCAGCAGCTGCTTGAAACTGTGGGGAGAGTTCTCTCCACACTTCTGGTAGAGGTTGAGAGGTTGCTGGGGTTGGAGGCGCGGTTCTCAGTTCATCTGATGGCTGTCGCCGGCTGCCACACGCCCCAAGGGGTCTGTTTCCCGGGGCTCCGGGGGTGGGCAGCCAGCAGATAGGCTGAGGCCTGGCCACCCTGGGCATGGTGACCACAGCTCACCCTCCAGCTTACGCAGCGGTTTCAAGGGACACGGGTGGGGCCGGGGTCTGGAGCGGCCGCCTGAGAGACACCTCCCCGCCCCAGGTTTGCTGGAAAGGACGTTGCCAAGACTTCCACGTTTACAGATCCAGAAACTGCTCCGCCCGGTGCCACAACCACGGGGTATGTGTGGCTTCTCGGGACGGTGCCCCTGGAGCCGGTGCTGGGGGCAGCTCTGGGCACAGAAGCCTAAGGCTGAGTGAGCCCAGCGTATCATATCTGTGGGGGCCTTGGTGGGGCCCGACTCAGGGCTGAGGCCGGCTTGGTGTCCTCCGTGGATGGAACCTGCGTGGTCCCCGGCCAGTGGGCAGGGGCTACTCAGCGAGGCCTGGCTGTCAGTGCACGAGAGTGGGGGCTGAGGGGGCCCTCAGTGGTGGGGCCAGCCCAGGGCCCTCGTGCTGGACGCACAGACCCCGCTGCTCCTTGGGGTCCGCACCAGGATTGGCCCTGAGCCTGGCTATCCTCACAGGTGTGCAACCACAAGCAGGAGTGCCACTGCCACGTGGGCTGGGCCCCACCCGACTGCGCGAAGCTGCTGACTGAGGCGCACACAGGTAGGGCTCTCTGGCCAGCGCAGGTGGGGCTAGGGTCCAAGCTCACGGGCCCTGAATGGGGCAGCTCAAGCAGCTGCTGAGCTCAGAAACGCATCCACGGTGCCCACATGGGGCACACGCTTGGGATGCCTGTGGGTGGGGCAGCCTCTGACCCTGTGGGTGGGGAACCTGGTGGTGGTCACAGTGCCTCTCTGCCTCCACGGACGTCCCCCACGGGTAGGCAGAGCCTGTCTGTCCCTCAGGCCGATGTGAGAAGGGGAGCCCTGTCCCGGGGGAGGCTCAGGGGCCGTGGGCAGTGGCAGTACACGGCTGTGAGCTGAGACTCCGGTGTCCTCGGCCCAGTCTTCCAGGCCCTCCTCGGCCCATTTCCACCCAGCGGCCACTGAACACGTGGTTGTGCAGAGCGTCAGGCCTCAGAGGCACAGCTGTGCTCGCAGCACTGTGCGCCCAGGGCCGCCCTGGCCGGCTCTCCCGCCCACCCCCGGTGAGCTGGGAGTGCCGGTGTAAGGTGTCGGGTCCTCCCTGCGGGGCCCACGGCGCAGGGCCTGGGGTGCTGAGGAAGGCTGTGGCTCTTGGAGCCTCCCCGGCCCCTGCTTGAGGCTGTGGCCCTCCTGGCCGACATGGGGCTGTACGTCCCACAGCATCCGAGAGCCTGCCCGTGGTCCTGGTGGTGGTCCTGGTGCTCTTGGCAGTTGTGCTGGTCACCCTCGTAGGCGGTGCCATCTACCGCAAAGCCCGGAGCCGCGTCCAGAGCAGGTGAGCGTGGCGGCGGCTGTGAGGGAGGGTGGTGTGGGCATCGGGTGCTCGACTGTGAGGGAACGTCTCTGCTGCTGGAGGGAGGAACGCCCGGCATGGACCCACGGGAACACGACGGACACCCACGCGCCTCCACACCTGACGCCGTGACGCCCCGTCCTGGGCTGAACTTGAAGTCTCCATTTGGCCTGCCCCAAGGCTGGGCCGGGATGGTTTCAGTGGCAGGTTGGGTGTGCGGCAAATCCGGAGAGGCCTGGTGGAGCCACCTGTACCCTGATCCAGGCCCACGAGCACCCCTCAGTTTCCTGCTGAGCTCTGGGTGTGAGGCTGCACGCTGAGCCCTGCTCCAGGGACCGGGACCCTCACGCAGCAGGAGACGCCCGTGCAGCAGGACACGCCGGCCCCACAGCCTCCAAGCACCTGCCCCCGACCTAACTGGGGCCCCCAGGAGATGGAGGGGTGTCCTGCCTCTTCAGGGTCCACTCTGTCTCTTGGGCCTGCCTTTTTCAGAGGTCCTGTCTGTAGTGACCTCTCCGTTTACAGCCTCTCGGGTCAGCTGGAGCTGGGAGGAACAGACTCAGGGTGTGGTGCTGGGGCCCTGAGGCCAGACACTGACCACGTGCCTTTTGCTTCCTGCCCAGGAGCACGGCCCCCAAGACCACCATGGGACGCTCCAACCCCCTGTTCCATCAGGCATCCAGCAGTGCGCTGGCCAAGGGCGGGGCTCCAGCCCCAACGAGGGTCCCCCACGAGCAGGTCCCCACCACTCACCTGGGCCAGCCTGCTGGACACCCGGCCTCCTCCATGGCCCAGAAGAGGCCGCCCCCTGCTGTAAGCAACGGCCCTGGTGGGTTCGTGGGGCTGAAAGCAGTGCCCAGGTCCCATCCTGCGACCCCAAGTGCAGCCGCCGCTGGCAGAGCCCTTTCGTGAAATTTGCCCAGGGGATGGCGGTTGCCTGAGGCCCAGGGCAGCTGCTGTGGCTGCTCTGTTGGGAACACTGAGCTTTGGGAATGGGTGCTTCCAGGCCCCCTTGAGCCATGACAGAATCAGAGCTTGAACTTGAACTTGGGGCTCTGAGGCCAGAGGACCTTTCTGTCCTCAGCAAAGCGCACTTGAGGGCAGATGCAAATGCTCTTGGAGGAAAGGGTGGGGCCCTGTGAGCTGCGCAGACCCCTCCAGCACACGCGAGAGGCAGAACTTGGAGTCCTGGAGCTGGGGGTGCAGGGGGCATGGGGTGCGGCCCCAGCTCTGACTCAGGCTCTCGGCCCTGTCTCCTCCAGCCTCCAGCTGCTGTGTCCAGCACCCCCTTCCCAGTTCCTGTCTATAACCAGATGGCGCCAAAGCGGGTAAGCAGCGTGACTGGGCAGTGAACCCGTCGGAGGGCGTCCAGGCCTTGCTGATGGGATTGGGGTCCCTGCACTGTACCGGGGTCAGGGACCTCCCAGGCGGCCCCCGCTGTGCACAGAAGGCTGGTTAGCTCGGCCTCATGAGGACATCAGAGTGAAAGGAAGGTCAGGAAGGCCGTGGGGAGGCAGCAGCTCCGTCTCACCCTGCACTGGGGCTGGTTTGGGGGTCCTGGCTCCTCCTTCAGTTCAGACTGTTCCGCTCACCAAGCCCCTCCCAGAGCTGAAGTTCCAGCAGATCTGAGGGTCCCTGGGCCCTGCAGGACAGATGGGTGGGCGGGCTCAGGCTTGCCCTGTTGCAACGCTTCCCCTAGCTTTGTGGGTTTTGAAAAGATCTCTCAAAAACCTGGATTGTCGTATCGAGGGTTAACTCCCAGGCCTCCATGTCACCCCAGGGTTGGGTCCTGCCCCTGTGCCCTGGCTCCCATCTCTGCAATAAACTTCGAGCCCTTTTTGGACCCTGTTGGGGCAGCTGGTTGGCCTCAGCCCTGGGGAACTGCTGTGGCCCTGGAGCACCCTTCCTGGGACCACTGGCTCAGCTAGGGCAGCAGAAAGGGCCGGGCTCTCTCTCTGGGGCCTGGCACGGGGTCCCAGTGGCACCATCGAGGCCACTTGGCGTGGCTGGACATTGTGAGCAGTCTCTGTTTTCAACGAGGGCAGGACTGTGGCAGGTAGGTGGGGGGCTCTGTGGTGCATCTCCAGGGACCTCCTTCCACCGAGTTACATGGTCAGCTTTAGGATGGGGTTGTGCAGGGAAGACTGGGCCGTGAGACCTTGCTCTCTGGGTAGAGGCTTTTCTTTGGTTAACGTTTAATTTTGAACAAATTTTAGACTTATGGAAAGATTGCAAAAATAACCTAGAGAATCCTGCATGCTCTTTGTCCAGCCTACTCCCAGGTCAGTGCCTGCATGTCCATGGGGCACCCACACAGCTGAGGGGCCACATCATAGTGCCACGCACCTGGTGCCACCCACATGGTGCCCATGTCACAGTGCCATGCACCTGGTGCCACCCACATGGTGCCCACGTCACAGTGCCACTGTGTGGTGCCACTCGTGGTCTCTGGAACCCTTCTCTGGCCGTGGTTCCCCCGGCACTGGGCCCCAGCCCCTCTGCCTTTCCTCAGCTGGGGTTTGTCCCATGCTTTCCTCGTGTGGACGAAGGCAGGGTGCTGTGGGCAGGAGCAGCACTGGAGGCGTTTTTCCCAGGGCACGGCTCAGGCCTGGCCACCGGCGGTGTTGGTCACGGGTGATGCTGACATGGCGCCTGGCTGGGGCAGTGTCCATGGATTTTTCTCTAGAAACCCCGTTGTCTTTGATAGTTAGCAGATGCCTCGGGGAGGTACCTGAGACTCTAAACCTTGAACTTGGACCCACGAGCTCTGGGGAATCTGTACCAGTTCTGTGCTGTTTGCCTAATAGTGATTTTCTATTTCTCTCTTTCCTTTTTAACTTTTCATTTGAACTAACTTCAGACTTATACATGAGTTGCAGAAATAGTCCTAGAAGGGGTCTGGACAGGCAAAGCAGGGACCTGGGGGCAAAGATTTCTGGCCACGGAAGTGATGGTCGCCAGGCACGAAGGTAGGTGAGGCAGAGGCTGCAGGAGAACTACAGGAGGGAAATCGCCCGCCCGCCTCCCCTGGCTGCTCAGCAGGGGCCTTTGGAAGCTGCTGGAAGCTGCATTGCTCAGCCCGCACAGGCTCCAGGTGACGCAGCCAGGAGTGGGTGCTGCGGCTCTGTGTGCTGGACGTCCAGCATCCCTACCACGGGAAAACTGAAATGCAAAGAAACACGTTTTAGTTTTAACTGTCAGCCTTTGAGCTTCCAAAACCCCACATTCCAGCAACTTAGGAGCTCTTCAGGACAGGCACAGTGGCTCACGCCTGGAATCCCAGCACTTGGAGTGGCTGAGTCAGGAGGATCGCTTGAGCCCAGGGGTTCAAGACCAGCCTGGGCAGCATAGGGAGGCCCTGTCTCTACAAAAGATAAAAAATTAGCTGGGTGTGGTGGCTTGTGCCTGTGGTCCCAGCCACTCAGGAGGCTGAGGTGGGAGGATTGCTTGAACCCAGGAGGAGGCAGCTGCTATGAGCCAAAATCACGCCACCGCACTCCAGCCTGGGTGACAGAGGGAGACCTGGACTCAAAAACCAAAAAAAAAAAAAAAAAAAAAAAAGAAAAAGAAAAGAAAAAAAGCTCTTCAAGGGTACCATGGGGGTTGGGTCGGGTGTGGAAGGTGTGGCCGGAGCTGGACTGGGCCAGGGATGGGCTCTGCCAGTACCGGCTTCATTCTGTGGGTGGCGCAGCCGGGAGAGGTTTTCTGTAGCGAGCTTAGTGGGGGCGGAGCCTGCAGGCCCTGGGCGGGTTGGGGGGGTGCAGAGCATGGCCTGTGGTGAGCTTGTTCCAGGACAGGGAAGGTGGTGGCTCAGGTTAAGGCCGGGACTGCCTGGTGCCCATGTCAGCTGCGTCTGTTTCCCTCCCAGGTCGTCAGGCCGACGTTCACACCCCCAGTGCCCCCAGTCAAACCCGGGGCAGGCACAGCCAAGCCTGGTGCAGCTGAGGTAAGGCCCCAGCACATGCTGGGCGGGGTCCACTGGGGGGCGTGGCCTCCCACGGGCTCACGGTGGCACTGCCCTGGAGGGTGGGGTTTTTCTAATTATCTGTGGATGCACATTCCCCGTGGTGCTAGGGAAAGGCGACGAGCGTCCCGTGACGTCCATGCTGCCATCAGGGGACTTCCCAGCAGACGCTGCCCCTACCCTTTGCCTGTCGGTGGTGCCTCACTTTCCCCGAAGCAGCTGCAGGGAAGAAAGTCTTTCCTCTGTGGCAAGCGGGCCGTGAATCCTGTGGCTGCTACGCTGCCAGCATGCAGTGGGCCCTGCTGCTGGTGGATGAACTAAGAATCTTCGGTCTAAGAAACGTTAAAGGAAGTAAAATTTAGTCGTGCCTTTTTTAGCAGGGGGCTTTCATCATCGGTTATCTCTTCCTTCTCCCAGGGGGCTGTTGGCCCAAAGGTTGCCCTGAAGCCCCCCATCCAGAGGAAGCCAGGGGCCGGAGCTCCCACGGTGCCCTAGGGGCATCTGTGCCTGCGTGGGATTTTGGAGAAGTTGCAACGGAGCAGCCAGACCTGCGGCATTCCAGGGCCCAGCCAGGGCCGCGCAGCGCAGGACGCTTGAGTTTGCATACTCAGCTGCCGTTCTGGCCTCAGGAATGCGTCCAGCCGAGACTCCTGCTGTCCAGCCCCTCAGCCACTCCCTTCTCCCACCTTGGCCACGCATAGCCCCAGCCGTCTGCAGGCATCAGGCTGGGATGAGCTGTGTGCCTGTGGGTGCACGTGTACGTACGTGTCTCCAGGAGGCCACACGTGGCTCCTCTCAGCCATGCCTGCCCTGCCCTGGGCCTGCTGAACCCTCTGCCCTGGGACCCCACTCTGGGCAGCGCAGACCATGGAGGATCCCCAGAAAGACCCCATCCTGGGACCGGGTTCCCCTGGGTGCTCTTCAAGAGGCTGTCAGTGAGCAGACTGCATCCCAAGACTCTAGACTCCAGGCCCCCTGATCCTGGGGCACGTTTCCCATGGGATGTGAGAGGGACAGCCCCAGCTTCGTGTGTGTTTAAACTTAGGAATCACCTTGGTGGCCAGGGCCGCGTGGGAGAGTCAGCTGCTGTGTCCAGTTCTTCAGGCCTCAGATGTGCGTTCAGCAGGGCTGAAAGCCTTTATTCTTTAACACTGAGAAATGTATATTTTCATAATAAATTATTGATCAAGTTCTAAATGACGGAGATTCCTGTTAGATCAGCAGGGAAGGGGCCTGGGTTTCAGTTCACCAGATAGAAGTGTCGGCACTCGGTAAAATGCAGACTGCAGACAGATCAGGCCAAGCTTTCCCCTCCTCCCTCCCCGGATTTCCCACCCTGTGGGAGTGGCCCTGCCGCTCTCTCAGCGACCACCTGGGCCCCACCGCATCTCCTGGCCGGGGCCCCGCCTGCTACCCCACCACCACGTGGGCTCCCGCCGCTGCCCTGCATGGCCTCCACACGCTCCCGCCCGGCTACCCCAGCGCCACCTGGCCTGAGACTGGCAGCGACGGTGGGTGTGCGCGCGTCTGAGACGCCGTGGAGTCCAAGGGGCCCCCCGCGGCCAGGGCCTGCACCCTCCACCCAGGAGAGCGGCGAATGGCCGAGATGCCCCTCCTGGCTGCTCGCCGACACCCCAGAGTCTGGGGCTGCAAACCCCACTTCGCCTTTGCTGCATCGGCTCAGCCTTTAGATCTGTAGGATCCAGGCACTCCAGTGTCCACATGGTCCCACCACGTGCCAGCAGTGCCCAGCCCGTGTGCCGCTGAGGAAGTGCCTTCTGCTCCTGGGCACGTGGGCAGCCAGTCCGAGTGGGAGACGTGTCTGGTGCTGCCCCGAGGAGGCCTGACCTCGTCCATCTGTGTCCCCTCAGCCTGTGGCCCAGCCCCACCCCCACAGGAGCTGCCTCCGGTGGCTGCTCCCAGGCAGAGCCCTGAGCTGACAGCACCCATGTGTCACGCAGGCTGCCAAGCCCCAGTTCCCTTCAGCACGAAGAGTGGGAGCGTTCTGAGGGGCAGGCCACGGCACTGCAGAGGGTGGGCCACGGTCTCTCAAGCCCTCCAGCCCCCAGGCCTCCCTCCCGTCTCCCCAGCCTCCACCACCCAATTCCCTCCACAGCTGGATTCAAGACTTGTGTCAGCCTTGCAGTGGGGACGCAGCCGCCGGCAGCCAGAACCCACAGACCCCGGGCTCCAACTGCTGCCAGAGGTTGAGGAGCAGGCGCTAGCGCTTCTGCAGGAGGCAGTTGGGGTGCCGGCGACCTGGCGCCCTTGCTGCCTGGACTCCCTGTGGCTGAAGGACTGGGAATGGGCGTGTGCGGAGCCCTGTAGAGAGGACATGGTCTTCATTCTATCCAGCCATCCCCAAAATAGAGACATTTGCTGAGCACCTGTGGGCACCAGCTCTTATCAAATGGGGTGCTGGCTGGCAAGCCTGCCAGCTGCCCTATAGCCAGAGCTGAACCCCTTCTGCCAACTCCGGACACACAGAAGACAGCCAGAGGGCCAGGGTCCTGGGCAGCACCAGAATAGCCCAAGACTCCACATAAGCACTTAGATATGCAGTCCACACCTGGCTCTGTGGGTGCACACCTGGGTCTCAGTTCACACCTGGGTCTCAGTGCACACCTGGATCTTAGTTCACACCTGGATCTTAGTTCACACCTGGCTCTGGGTACACACCTGGTTCTGTCCACACCTGGCTCTCAGTGCACACCTGACTCTGTCCACACCTGGGTCTCAGTTCATACCTGGGTCTCAGTGCACACCTGGATCTTAGTTCACACCTGGCTCTGTGGGTTCACACCTAGGTCTCTGTCCACACCTGGCTCTCAATGCACACCTGGCTCTGTCCACACCTGGCTCTCAGTGCACACTTGGGTCTCAGGGTACACCTGGATCTCAGTCCACACCTGGTTCTCAATGCATACCCAGCTCTGTGGTGTAAATCAGCCTTGATGGGCTCCGTGGGCCTGTGCCTGGATCTACAGGTGCATACTGGCTCTTTCACCAGGGGTCTCCCATTCTCCTGCATGCAGGAAGCTCCTTGCTACACCTGCCTCCTCCAGCTGCAGCCTGCAGGACCTTAAGGGATGTGCTGGCTCCACAGAGACGCTCACTCCAGGCCTGCTGGGCGGCACATGACGACATCTGTGAGAATCTCTCCCACCCCGGTGCCTGCCTCAGGCACAGTGGCCACAGGAGAGGTCGGCCGACTGCCTCCCAAACCTGCCCATACTGGAAGCACAGACCCAGCCAGTCTCAGCAGCAAGAAACGTGACTTCAGCCGGATTTGGAAAAGCCAAGCTGCCTCAAATACGTTTCCCAGGTGAAGCCCAGGAGTGACGGCCACATATGGGCAGAGCTGGGTGGCGAGGGGGGTGCCGGCACTCAGCAGCTCCAGCCAGACCAAGGTCCTGGCCATCCCTGTAGGGCACGTTGGGAGCAGATGTAAGGCTGAGGGCCCCGCAGGGTCGTGGGGTGAGCCTTATGCTGTGCTGAGGTGCAGGATCCAAGAAATAAAGAGACAGGACACAGAAGTACAAAGAAATCGCAGCTGGGCTCAGGGGGCCACGACACCTATGAGCAGAGTCAGGCGAGGCCCCGAATATCCAGAAGCGTATTTATTGTGTATAGGTTAGGGGGCAGGGCAGTGAGTGAAATCATCTTTAAGGATAGTGATAGGGTCGTGAGCAATAAAACATGGGGTCCACCCCCATTAGGTCACCGAGGCCAGGAGGTGGACAGCGCGCAGCAAGGGGGCCGTTCCCATGAAGGCAAGGGCCGTGTGCAGTAAGGGGTCCACCCCCATTAGGTCACTGAGGCTCGAAGGTGGGCCGTGCGAAGTGAAGAGGGTGCAGAGTGCGATACTTCTATCTATGGGAAAACTACTTCTAAGAAGATTTATGGGAGGATGCTTTATAAGTCACACAGCAGTGACAGAGCTGTCAGGGTTACCGCCACCTTCTGGCAGCTTCCAATGGCTTCTATGGGAAGATGCTTTTCAAGCAGCACAGTAGTAAGAGCTGATGAGGTTCACAGTCACCAAGGTGGATTGCCGCTCTGAGGGCAGCCTTCCACGAGAACTGGAGCAGGGTCCTGCAACTCCTTTATCAGGAGGAGTGGCTCTCGCCCCAAGCCTGCCACACAGCGGGTATCTTTACAATACTGAACGCTGCCGCCTGGGCCGTGGATTCTTGTCCTGGTGTAACTGTTTTCCCTTAATTCATGCTCTGGACTGTGTCCACTCTAGGCATTCCTCCGATTATGAACTAAGATATAATTATAGGTATATATGTAGGGAAATATTCTTCAGGCACTCATACTATCAACTATTAATGATTATATAGAGAGGATTATATAAAGGGATTCTTCAAGCCCTAATTCTATGAACTAATATATGATTATGTAAAGGATTATATAAAAGGAAATAGCTGAGTAGTAACACTATAAAGTGAGATATTCCTCAAGCCCTAAGCGTGCTAGGGCTCTGCTCAGCTCTCATTCCTCGGGGCCTATATGGGGGGTTACCCACACATCCCCACAGCGTCCCTTGCTCAGAGACAAACCACAAAGGGCAGGTGGCCTCGAGGTGGGAAGCACGGCCCCAGTGCTGGGCCTCTGCCCGAGGACACAGGAAGCAGCTGCTCTTCATGGCCCTCCATAGCCCAGGCCACTCACTGTCCCTGCCGGGGGGCCCCGCAGACTCCTCCAGGGCACTCGCCTGACCCCATCTGTGCATCTCACTGCAGCAACAGCTGAGCCAGGGCACCCTGCGGAGTCGCCTCTGAGTTTCATAACGCAGCTGTGATTCACGCTGCCACACGTGGGCCACAGAGCCCCGGCTGGGATGCCAGCAGCTTCCCTTCCCGCCACCGCTTCCTCTCTGCCAGGCTGCGGTCAATCTCAAGCCACAGAATGATGCCACTTTCCTGCCTGCCCCTGAAAACAACTCATCCAGATTCAGGTG